GAGAGAGAGAGAGAGAGAGAGAGAGAGAGAGAGAGAGATGGCTGAAATGTGAATCACGGAGGGACCGATGCTTACCAGGGCGGTGTTTTCAACTGAAGGGATTTTCTGCCCCAACCACCAGGGTGGTCCAACCGCCATGAGTGGGCTGCCTCACCTCATGTCACCTTGCCTTCACCCAGAGTGGGGACACAGGTAAGCAAGGCTGCTGGACAGAGCCTGGGAGCTTGAGGGCGAGATGTCCCCCCTGACAGGGCGAAGAGAACGGAATTCCCTGGGAGATTCCCACGGGTCAGGTTTGGGAGGATCACGACGGCCGCCTCCACAATGAATTTCTGACACTTGAAGTTTAGGGGGCTGTAAGACTATTGGAATTGGGTGTGAAAGGCGGCAACCACAGAGGAAGGAGGCAGAGAGGGTTCCCCAAGCTCTGGGGGGGGGGAGGAGACCACGATGGCAGGTGCCCTATCCAACCAGCTCACCCCGAGAACATCTTCCGTGCACCCGGCGGTGTGACTCATCCAGGGCAGAAGGAAGACTGTGGGAGTGATGGAATCTGGGAAAAAGAGGAAAAGAAGTGTAAAGACAGTTTATCCAAAATAAGCATTTCATTGACTCCTCCCACCAAGATCTCAGGAACTGTCGTAGCCTTGTTTTTAATCGGCACCCTGTACCAACACGAAAATGTGTCATTTATAAACACGACTTTCTCCTTACCAACCCTCCGAGACACAGTGCCTTTATGGATAAGCTCAGTGCTACTAAGCTCCAAGTGAACATTAATTCCTACTGAACACAATCATTTTCTCTCAAATATAAGAAAAACCTGAAGGCACACTTTTCATGCCATACTAGTTAGGGACAATTCAAGAAAAGAAAATTATAGCCATGGTTAATTTTGAACGCAGATGTAAACACCCATGTAAATAAGATAGAGCTAAGGAAATACAACACTATGCTAAAAAGACATGTAATTAAATAAGACTTACTCATGGGTACAGGACAGCCCACTATCAGGATTTACTACATCCTGAACTACACCCCTGAACTACATCAGCTGAGACTAAAGCATAAAGTTCACAATGAATGCACAAAGAATTCTTGACAAACTTAACACATACTTATGATGAGAATTGTCCACCAGCCAGAACTAGAAAAAAATTCTTCAATGCATTAAAGTCATGTGCCCTAAAAATCATGCATACTTCATACTTACCAGAGGCATTTTAATATCTCCTCTAACATTGTGAGCAAGACAAGCGTGCGCACCAGCGCTCCTGCTCTCCAACCTGGTGCTCATACTCCTGACGGATGCTGTGAGGAAAGAAAAATGAACAGGAGATATGAAAAAGCAGATGCCTAAACAAAGGAAAAGATAAAACTGTTATTATTTGCTGATGAAATCCAACTATTAGAACTAGTAAGAGACTCGATAACATTTTCAGATAGAAGAAAAACTTGTAAAATCAGAGCATTTTCTGTTAGGGACAATACTAACCAGAAAATATAACAAAAATACCATTCCAAACAGCAGTCAGCACTCTAGAGTGTTTGAAATTAGTAATTAAACTGGCATTGGTGGCACATAACTGTAATCCTAGCCACTTGGGAGACTGAGACAATGGGATCAGAAGTTTGAGGCCACCCTCAGCAATTTAGCAAGACCCTGTCTCAAAACAAAAACTAAAAGGGCAGAGGGTGTAGTTTAGTGATTAAGTGCCCATGA